GCGCTTAACGACTGAGCCACCCAGGCGCCCTACTTCCTATTTTCGAGTCATGTAAGTTTTCTTTCAACAGGCTTTAAAATTGACTCCCCCCACCCCAACCTTTTTTTTCTCCTGGAATTAGATCGTGGTGATGGTTGCACAACCTTGAGACTATACTAAAAGGCATGGAATTGCACACTTTAAGAATGGTGGATTTTCTCTCAGTAAAAACTTGTAACAAACTCATCTTTATTTTGAAACGTGGGTCATTTGCAGTATTAACACCTGTAAACTCACATGTTGTCAGGGGGTGCGGTGGGGGAGCCTAGCTAAGCTTTGCTCCCTAAGACATATTCGAATAAATACACAAGCAATGTGAAGCTTTCGAAGCTCATCCATAGCAGACATGTAAGTGGGTGTGCAGACAGCGGACGCCCTGTGACCAGGAGGCTTTGTGCGTCTCCTGTGCCCCAGGACATTTTCACCAACAGCCTCAGTCCTTCCTGCCACGTTGCAGGTAGCTGCTGCTGTTCACCCCGAATTACAGATGAGGACACTGAGGCACAGGGAGGGGCGGTGGCATTCCCGAGGTCACGTGGCTGCTGTCCTGACCACCACCCCACATGGCCCAGTGAGCATGCTTTCTCTGAATGAGGAAAACTGGACCCCATCAGAGCTTTGATGGTGGGTTTGTGGCCCGAGGGCTGAAGCCAGAACCAACCCCGCCACACGTGTTTCATTTAATTGTATTTAACTTTTGTTCTTAACAAAATATTTTGTTATTAATGTTTTTAATTCCAGTGTTGTTAATACAGTGATGATTCGTTTCTGGTGTACAATCTGGTGATTCGACACTTATTTCTAGGCATTACTCGGTGCTCACTGTGTCAATTTCATTTAACTTTTAGAAGAACCAGCTTTTGGGTTCATTGATTTTTCTCTATCGTTTGTGCATCTTTTTTAATTTTTAATTTTTTTTAAGGAATTTCTATGCCCAATGTGGGGCTCAAACTCACGACCTGAGATCAACAGTCGCTCACTCCTCTGACCAAGCCCGCCGGGCATCCCTTGTTTGTGCATTTGTTTCCCTGATTTCCACTGTTTTCCTTCCTGGCTTCCACATACTCGGGGTTTAATTCACACTCATACTTCCAGCTTCTTGAGGTAACACTTAGACCCCGGTGCAGCCCCCCTCCAGCCTGTTTCGGCAGCTGCAGCCGGTGACCTCCAAGCTTCAAACCAGGCACATCTCTCCTTGCCCTGAGGGTGAAGCGCAGACCGCTCACCCTGCGCTGCCTGCCTGAGCTCCCCTGGCTCCCCCGGCTCCTTCCTCCCTCACTCCATAGGGCCACAGGGGCCTCCTTGTGAATTCATTTATTCATTATTCATTCAGCAAATCACCATGTGCCAGACCCTCTTCTAGGCAGGGACACAACAGGGAATGAGCTGGTGCAGGTGACATTCTAGGGAAGGGGACACAAGGAACAAATAAGGAAGCAAATGAAGAAAAGGATCAGGATCATCTCAGCAGCTAAAGTTACATGCTGGCTGAGAAGGAAAAACCTACGGGGGGATGTGAATGGCTGAGATGCTTTCAATGATAGGGAAGGCTTCATGGAGGAGGGGACATCGGGTCATAATCATTGACGAGCTTTTGGTAGAGGACACTAAGGCATTGGGCAGGGGGAGAGGTTGCACTGGGGAGTCTCAAATGTCCCATCCAAGGCAGGTTCAACGTCTCTCCTGCAACCTGCAGGAGGCACAGGGGCCGGGAGGGAACACTGCCTCCCTCTGCAGGGGTGGTGGTGGTGGCGCCCAGATTGGGGCTGGGTGTTGCCTAACGCCCATGGCAACTGCTCAGTGGAACGGCCTCCTTGTCCAGTCCCTGCGGAGCCTCCTGCAGGAATCCACACCCACTCGCTCCAAGGACAGAGTCAGCGCCCCGCTGTGCCGGCCCGGAGTGCTCGTGCTCCCAGGGACTGGTCACCTCCCCTTTCCAGCCTGTGACGTGATTTGGAGCCATGCTATCTTTAACCCTGGGCCAGGACACTCTGCTCCCCTCCCTGTAAACACCGCTCAGATGACAGTAATGGAATCCTGTGGGGGTGGCGGGCCCCAGGCATGCGGGGCCCAAGCTGGAGGCCCTGGACTCCCCAAGGTGGGAGACACTCGCCCATGAATTCACCCACCCATCCACTCCCTCGGCACATGGGCTCCCAGGACCCAGCCGTGACCAACACCACACAGGGCTCTGGGAGGTCGGAGACAGGAACACACTGAGCAGCCGGCCAAGTGGGCAGAACGGCAGGCACTGATCCCAGCTCAGGGAGGACGGGCAGCGGCTCCCACGGGTGCAGGGCTGCATGCGTTCAACACCTCCACCCTGGGCTCCCAGCCCGCTCAGCTTGTCGGCTCACCTGCCAGGGACTTGTCACCACGCCTGTTGTGTGGCCTTAGGGAGCCGTGGCACCTGTCCCTGCCATTTCACACAACCCCACCTTCACTCAGACTGCAGAAGTTTGGGGCCACAGGGTGGAGCAGTGCGCACACCGCGCTCCCAGCCCACTGTGACTGGTTGGGGCCGGGGGTGGGGAGCTCTGACCCCAGCTGGCAGAGGGATGCCCTGCATCCTGCGGGTCACCACCTGGGGGACACATCCCTGCCCCCAGGAACCAGATCCTCTGCTGCTGTTTGGCGCAGCGGGATCACCGCTCACCTGAACTCTGAGTGGCCTTTGTGAGACTGGAGCTGAAATCACAATTCTTAGTTCTAAGCTCGGGGAGAAAAAAAAAAAGCGTGGCCCGGGTGGGCTTTCCTCTGTGGCGAGTCTTCAAACACGCCGTACCCGGCTTCCCCCACTTGGGAAACAGGGAGAACACCACCTACTTCCCTGAGCTGCCGTGAAGGTGGGATGGAAGCACATGGGATGGAGCCTGGCATACAGCAAGGGCCCAATAAATGCTCTGGCCAGTGTTGTGTCTCCTGAGGCCACTCTTGAGCACCTACCCATTCAACGCCCACTCCTTCAAGGCAACGATGTGTTCACACTATAGAGGAGCGGGCGGACGCCCCGGTGAGGCCAGGAGATAAGCAGCAGCCCCCCACCCAACACGCTGCTGGAGGTCAGGCCTTCCCCAGTCATGCGGGGGGATTCCCCCCCCCGCCCCCGCCCAACCCCGGCTTGAGGACACACAGCAGGGCTTGGGCCGGGCTAACTGCAGAGAACCAGATCTTCCTCCCCAGACGGAACGGCTCCAGGAAGCCCGCTGAGGTCACCCACAGCCTCTTGCCCCACCCCATCTCAGGAGGGCCATGCCACCTCTTCTGTGGCAACCCTACCACAAAGCAGGGGTTTGGAGTAGGCCACTGGCTTTCCTGTCTTCCCCCCACCCCCTGCGCAGATCAGGCCACTCCCCTGGGGAAACCTGACACGGCAGCTCCAGGACACCCCCAGGAACGCCCCCAGTGAGAGACGGTGGCCTGGGGGCTGGGGTCTCCACGGACCCACACCATGGGCCTCTGTGCTCAGCAGCTGCCGATGGCCCCGTCGGAGGGCTTGAGCGTCAGCGCAGAGACTCACAACGTAAACTGCCTCATTGCTTTATTCCGTGCCTTCAAGGGACAGTGACTGTTTCCTGCCTCGACAGGAGGTCAAGCCTGGCCTTGTAAATAAATAATGTCCTAACTAACACTGCAAATCCAAACGAGGCCGAGTTTCCTTGGAGGGGAGGGACACCCAGGGGCCCCACATGGGGCCATGTTGCTGCCGCCTGCCAAGGCTGCGGGAAAGGTGCAGGGGGTGAGGGGGGGAGGACGCCCCTCTCCTGATGTCCCCCTCTCCTGAGCGGGGGCAGCTGCTTCTGTCCCTTTCTACTGTCCCCTGCTCTGCGGCTGGCTGCCGGGGCGTGTGCAGGGCCGCTCCAGAGAGATCACGAGATCTCGAGGCAGCAGTTTCTCCAGCACGGGCACGTGAGACCCTGAGGGATGGGAAACCAAGACTCTGTAGTTGGCAACTTGTGGACATTCACTGTCTTACCTGGCTGACTCAGCAGTGTACTTGGAATCTGCTCGGGAACGCCTGGATCCAGGCTTTCAAGCAGCTAAAAAAAAAAAAAAAAAAAAAATGGCTAGAGCCGCTGGGCTGCCCACCACTCGGGGTCTTCGAGGTTGAGGCGGCCTGCCATTTTTGGACTCAGTAATTGTGAGAACTGCACCCAAGCCAGCCACTCTAGTTCTCACTGGGTGGGGGAGAGACGCCACACCAGTTCCCTCAGCATTTGGAAGATGCTTCTCTTGCTAATGAGAACATCGGGAAGCCCAAGCCCAAGTAGAAGGCAAATGAGTGAAGTTTAAGAAAAAAAAAAAGAAACGTAGTCACTCTCACTTTCGGGCCCGATGCCGGGGACTTCTACCTGCCTCACCAAATTCTCCACACCGTAAAGCTCACTCCTGATAGCCTTGCCATCTCAGGCATGACGGAAACCTCCCTGTGTGAAATTAACTTCTTAAATCTGACAAAACATTCTTTAAAAAAGAAAAAAATATATGGCAGCGAAACCTCAGGACTCCTGTGCCCCACGTGTAACCTGCCCACTCATGAATCAACAGAACACCAAACCAACGAAAGCAATGCGAGGAGCAGGCTGCCCAGGGCAGAGAGCCCGGCCCACGGGCTCACGGGCCACGGTCATGGTGGCGCAGCAGGGAGCGGGGTGCAAGTGTGCTGCTGGAAGAATGGAGTCGGTCTTGCTTCTCGAGTTCCCAACTTTCGACCTCAGGAGCCGCCGGTCCCGACGCTGCATTTGGCGGCTGGGTTTCTCTGGCAATGTAGGGGCAGAGAAGCATGGACCCCATTCTCAGCTTCTTTCTGTTGCTGGGAGAGAAAGAAGGCAAAAAGCTTCAATTCCTCTGCCTCCAGGCAAGGAGGCGAAATCCTCTGGAACCCAGGCAGATGGGACGCCGGGAAGGGCGTGCATCTTCTCCCGATGAAAGACTGGCCCGTGGGCTCCTGGCCAAAAACAGCTCTTTAAGCACACGATCCTAAAGGCTGTGAGCACCAACAACCTGCTAGTTCCTTTCCCTTCCCCGCAGAAGTGACGGGGCCGTGGAGGCTAGACAGCCCTTCTATGTCACGCCACCCAAGGGCTCACGAAGAGAGGGTGAGAGCACGCGTGGGCTCCGCCCCTCCCGGATTCTCCTCTCTCCGAACCACGTCAGTGTAGCTCGATGAAGGCCTCCAGCTCCTCGGGGATGAAGCCCTTGTAGGGGATCTTGTTCTTGTCCAGGGCACGGGCTGCAAGGCACTGCAGGGTGACGTAGTTGAAGGGCTGAATGGTGCTCTTGGCCAGCAGCTTTTCATCCAGCAGCTCGTAGGCAGTCTTCTTGAAGGCATTGGTGGCATCCATGTGGGCACCCGCTTCGATGAGGGCGTTCATGATCCCGGGGCAGTTGTTCTGGGCCGCTATGTGCAGTGGGGTGTTGTTGTCAAAGTCCCGGCTGTCCGGGTCGGCCCCACAGTCAAGCAGCACCTTGACCACCTGGAGGGAGGGGAATCGGCCCACCGGGTAGCGGCCGACGTTGGTGGTGTCCTTGTCCACGGCCATGTGCAGAGGCGTGAAGCCGTTCTTGCCTCGGGGGGCGCACTTCAGCAGTCGGTAGACGGTCTGGTGCTTCAGGTGCTCCTGGTCCGGCGTGCACTCCACTTTCTCCAACAGGTAGAGCAGGTGGAGGATGATGGCCAGGGCCTTGGTGAACTGGGCCGAGTCCCCGGGTTCCTTGGGCAGCTGCAGGGCCCGCTCCACTTCCCGCACTCCTTTGCACAGCACCCCCATGAGGTCTGCAAAGCCGATCTGTGTGCCCAGGCTGCCCTTGGCCGCCCGGTCCTGGAGCACGTAAGAGAAGAGTTCGGCAAAGGACAGGAAGCTGCTGGCGGTCATGGGGCTCAGGGGCTCCAGGTTGCTCTGCTGCATGTCCAGGGCGTACTTCCACAGGCGGATGCAGCGCTCAAAATTGCCTGAGTCGGCGTACACCGCACCCCGGTAGCGGATGTAATAGGAAGTGTCTGGGTGAGAAGGGCCCAGGATGCGCTCTCGGATCAACAGGGCCTGCATGCGCATCTCATCGGGGTCAGTGATCAGCGCTTCCAGCTCCTCGGTGGTGTTCACCTCCCTGGAATAGTCATAGGCCAGGACCAGCTGTGGGGGCTCTGGCTTGGGCAGATACGCACCGCCCTGGTGCCGCAGCTCCATAGCCCGTCTCCAGTGCTTCAGGGCCCCGAGCAGATCCCGCTTCTTATCCACATACGTGGCTCCCAGCAACTCTAGAGCTTCCACAGCAGCCTCCCGGCTGGTGGGGCAGCAGCTCTCGTAAGAATCGCTAAGCGGCTCCTCTGGGGAGGAGCCACAGCAGAGGGCCCCCTGCGGCTGTGCGCATCCCCGGCCTCCCGGGCCGGAGGCGGAGGGGCCCTCTCCGGACAGCCCCCGCCGCACCTCTTCCCCGGCCGGCTGCTCCTGGATGAGGTACTCCACGATGTTGGTGTGGCCCGTGACGCTGGCCGCCAGCAGGGGGGTCATGCCGTAGCCGTCGCGCTCCATGCGAGCATTGCACCCCAGCAGCAGCTGCAGGATCTCCAGGCTGCCGGACTCGGCGCAGTCGTGCAGGGCCGTGTTGCCCTTGGCGCTGCGCCGGTTCACCTGGGCGCCCTGCTCCAGCAGGTAGCGGGCGATCTCGCGGTGGCCCTTGTAACAGGAGATCATGAGGCACGTGTGCCCGTGCCGGTTGGCCACCTCCAGGTCGGCCTGGTGCTCGCCCACCAGGTAGCGCACCACCTCCAGGTGCCCGTCAAAGCAGGCGGCGCGCAGGGGCGTTGAGTTGGTGCGCGTGGTGCGGTTCACCGAGGCCCCGCGGCGCAGCAGGCTGCGCACCACGTCCAGGTGGCCGGCGGCCGAGGCGGCCCACAGCGGCGGCGCGCCCTCGATGGTCTCGCCATCGAAGTGCACCGAGCCGCCCGCCTCCACGCTCGCGCCGCACCGGTCCACCAGGTACTCGACCACGTCCAAGTGGCCGTAGCGAGCGGCGATGAGCAGCGGTGTCCCCCCGCCGGCCACCTCGCCCGTCAGCTCGTCCAGCTCCTCCCGGCTCCGGCCGCTGAGCAGCTTCTGAAGCAGCTGCAGCTTGCCGTCGCGGGCGGCGTTGTACACGGCGGTGCGGAGGTCCATGGTCCAGGCTTCCGCCAGGCCATGGGCCGGCCGCCGGGGGACGCGGAGAGCGCGGGCTAGCGCCCAGAGGGGCAGGCGGCAACCTTCACCGTCTCCCCCGCCGCCATCTTAGGGGCCTCTCCGGCGGAACAAAATGGCTGCCGCGGCCGGGCGCCGCGGGTGGTGGCGGGTGTGCAGGGAAATGTAGTCCTGGGGACCGGCCTCCTCCGCAGGACAGAAGAGGAACGGAGAGGGCCAAGACTACCACTCGTAGAAGGATGCGCACAAGCCGAGGCGAACTGGGAGCACGGTGCATGGTGGGGATTGTCGTTCCGACCAAGAGGATTAAGGCCGAAACTGTCAATGCGTGGACTACAATTCCCGTCGCACAATGCTATCACGATGACTTCTGGGACCCGGGCAAGTTTGGCTACGTACTTCCTGTGGCTCCCTCAGGGCTCCAGCCCACAGGAAGCGCAGGCGCAGGCCGAGAGACTCCATTCCCCGAAAGGCATCGCGAGCAACCCGGAGCCAATCAGGAGCGAGAACGAGGGCTAAGCCGGCCGAAAGGCCCTGTCTGATCTGGGTTTGGCGTGGCCGAGCCGCTGGCCGGCAGGGGGCGCTCGGGAGAGGCGGGAAAGCTGAGGGCGCCGGGATATTAGGGGCGCAGAGAGTTACAGGTGGCCCTGGGTTCACAAGTGATGGGATGGGGATTTGAACCCAGCTCCTCCAGCCCCAGACAGAACCTGTGCCCTTAGTCACAGCACGGTAGGTCCCAGCAATCTACGTTATCTTGTGTGCCATTGCCTGAACTTAGTTTCTACAGTGTTTCTTGTTACATAAATGTTATATGTTCTCTACAGAAAAAAAAAAACAAAACAACCCCCCCCAAAAAAAAAACAAAAACAAGTCAGGAAATGCAGACAAGCAAATGAGAAAAACTGTGAAAATCCTTTCCTTTCTACATCCCCTAGCCAGGAACAAAACTGTGATTGATCTGCAAACATTTTTTTAAAGATTTAATTTATCTACTTGATAGAGAGAGCGCGCGCACACAAGCAGGGGGAGTGGCAGGCAGAGGGAGAGGGAGAAGCAGGCTCCCCGCTGAGCAGGGATCCCGACGTGGGGCTCAATCCCAAGACCCCGGGATCATGACCCGAGCCGAAGGCAGACACTTAACTGACTGAGCCACCCAGGCGCCCTGTAAGATTTTATTTTAGGTAATATCTACACTTAACATGGGGCTCAAACTCACAACCTTGAGATTAAAAGTTGAATGGTCCCCCAACTGAGCCACCCGGGTGCCCCAACCTATAAACATTTCTTCCCTCTTGCATCCTGTTCTGTGCACAGGTCTGAATTTCCTTCACTCTTAATTGCCATTAGTTGTTGAAGACAACACTTTGAATTTAATAACAGCTCTTCAGGAGCAAACAAACAAACAAACAAAAAAACACCCACAAAACCGAAAAGCACCCCACACCATGCTAAACATACACATGGCTTTAAGTGAAATATAGTTCAGGTTCTTTTCCGATTCCTGAAACAATAAAACATGCAAAAGTGGTCTTTTGGGGGATCAAGAGAATACAGGTGTTACATTACCTGCTTTTTTGCACTTAGCATTATAGCTTGAAGATTGCATTATTCATTCAACAGGCGCCACGTTTTATGTAGGCAGTCTCCTGCTGGTGGGTATTTATCGGGTGCCCAGTACATGCCAGGTACCTCTCTGGACATCAGGGGTATGATAGTGAACAAGACAAACAAAAATCTGTGCCTTGGCAGAGCTGATATTCAAATAACATAGATTTTCCAGCAGTACTTTTAGTATAGTATAGTATTCCATAGTGTGGAAATGTGCTATGATTTATGTAGGCAATCCCCTGCTACCCCCACTAGCTGTATACTTTTAGCCAAATACTTCTGTGCTTTCTTTCTTTCTTTTTTTTTTAATTGGGGCAAAATGTATGTAACATAAAATTAACCTTTTGACCATTTTTAAGTGCACAGCTCAGCAGCATGAGGCACACTCACACTGTCGTGCAGCCACCCCCACCCTCCGTCTCCAGAACATTCCATCTCCCCAAACTGAGGCTCTGTCCCTGTGAAGCACAGACTCCCCACCCCCTGCCCCAGCCCCGGCTCCCACCTTCTCCTCTCTGTCTGTGTGGACGGGACTCCTCTGGGGACCTCCTGGGAGTGGGGTCCTGCAGAATGTGTCCCTCTGTGTCTGGCCTCTCTCCCTGAGCACGGTGTCCTCGGGGTCCCCCTGCGTTGTGGCAGGTGTTCAGGACGTCCTAACCCACTTCCTGTCTGTGGATGTGCCTGTTCTGGACATTCACATAAATGGAATCACACACCATGTGGCCTTTGGTGTCTGGTTCTTTTACTGAGCGTCCTGTGCTTGTGGTCCAGCCACATTGCAGATTCGATCTTCATTAAGCCACTACAGTTCTGGATTTTCTGACCCACATTGGCGATGCATCCTAACTCACCCACTCTTAGGGGAAAGCCAGAGGCCAGGGAAGGAAGGGCTGAAGTTTGAGATTGAGGGTAACTGATAAGGCGGGACAGCAGAGGAACTTGGGGGGTAGGAATCCAGGATGTGGTAGGAACTGACCTTGGGCTCATCCAGCCTCCAGAGAGAAGACAGAGAAAAGAATATGGGCATGGGAAAGGGGAGAGATTTGGGGGGGAGCCCCAGGGCCCGGAGCTCCCTTAGCTGTGTTCGGCCCTAGAGCAGAGTAAGGACATGCCCACGGCAACTTTTGGTTTCGCTGGCCCCTGCTCCCAACTGTGGGTGAGGACCTCAGTCTCCCCTCCAGGCTGGGCTGGAACCCCCGTGTACCGGCATTATGGATTTTTGACAACTAGATGTTAAACCCAGCGAGTACTGAAAATTAAATTATAGGTACCTAAAACTTAACCAATCATGTAAAAAGAAAGTGATAAATACTGGACCCACATCACCTCCTCATTACTACATATTGCTATTAGCCACGCTCTCCAGAGGATTCGTGCCTCCTGCCTTTACATGGTGGAAATGCTAGGTGATGGTGTGGCTCTGCGGATCTCTTCCCAATTTCCTGCTCTGTGACTCCACCCCCCCGAAACTGGAGATCATCCGTGGTGGAAGTATCTGCGGTCCGGAAACGGGCTGATGATAAAATCAGCAACCCTTCCCCTCAAGACCCTGACTTTGCCCGTCTTTTCCTCCCCACCTTACGCAGACCACTGTGCATCCTAACCCACTACATAATTTATATATTCCAGACGTTATTCTCAGTCTGCCCATTGCAAAGTCGGCTTGGACTAGCAGAGATTTTTGTCGCTGGTGCTCAATGCCATGTTTCTAGAACAGTGCCTGGCACACAGCAAGGAGCTCCACACGTTATGTGGAATGGATAAAGGGATCCTTCCAGTAAGCTCATCTTAACCACAGCACCACCCTGCCTGAGAATGATGGCTGATACCCTGGAGCTAGCACGTTCCACCTTCTCTTTCATTCTGATTTTTGTCTGCCGCCCTCAGCTTCCGGGCAGGCAGCCACGGGAAGACAGGGTGGGGGCCGCTATTTGGCCGTGACTGTGGCCCAGGCCAGGAGACTGCCTCTTCCCCAACCCCTCCGCGTCGGGGGAGCCTGTTGTCCCGCTACCTGTCTCCGCGCCCCGGCCCAGCTGGCTGCAAACGTCGGGGCCGCAGTGCGCGCGCACACCTGGGGCGGTCGGCCAGGTGCGCTCCGCGGGCCCAGGTGCGCTCCTTTAGCGCCCCACGCGGCAGGCACGCGGGGGACCGGGCCACCTGAGCGGGGCCGCGCTCCGGGCGCACCAAGCTGGGGGGCTTTCATCCGAGCGCGCCTCAAAAATCTTTTAATGAGAAAATATTTTAAACATTCAGAAAAGTCGCGAAAATAAATATAATAGACCTCAAATAGTAAAAGCCAAAAGGTTAGGCGGATTCATTCATTCCGTAAATACTTTATGAGATGACCAGGTGTCAGGCACTGGTTTTAGGAGCTGGGAGGCAGCTAGCAGGAAAAAAAAGATAAAAACCTCTTAACTCCAGGGGCGCCGGGTGGCGGAGTTGGTTGAGCTTTTGTCTTCAGCTCAGGTCATGATCTCGGGGGCCCTGCTCAGCGGGGAGCCATCTTCTCTCACTCTCCTGCGTTTTTTGTTTGTTTCTCTCTCTCTCTCAAATAAATAAATAAAATTTGTATATAAAAAAGATTTAAAACCTCTTAACTCCAGAATCTGATATAAGTGGGGGAGGCTGGTGAGAAATTACATAAAGAAAGATATTCATTTGCTAGTACTGTGTTACCGGTTGAATGTCCCCGCCCCCCCCTTCAGATGCTGAAATCCTAACCTAATCTGTGAAAACAATGGTATTAGGAGATGGGGCCTCTGGGAGGGGCTTAGGTCATGAGGGTGGAGCCTCCATGAATGGGGATGAGCGCCCTTCGAGAGAAGCCCCAGAGCTCCCTGCCCCTTCCTCCCGCGCACAGTGAGAAGTCATCCACGAGCCAGGAAGAGGGCCCTCACCCCAACCATGCTGGCACCCTGACTTTGGACTTCCCAGGCTCACAGACTGTAAGAAATAGATATCTGTGGTTTATAAGCTACCCAGACAGACAGCCATAACAAAATATCACCGATGGGGGGTGGCTTACAACAGAAATGCATTCTGGTGGCTGGAAGTCAAAGATCAAGGTATCAGCAAGGTTATGTGTCCCGAGGCCTGATTCCCCGGCCCCTTCCAGACCAGCCATCCACTAGCTGCCCTTACCCACGGGTAAGGGAAGAAGCCCCCCAGCTGAGACCTGCCCAAATTCCTCACCTGTAGAATTGGTGAGATACAAGAAAACAATGATTATTTTAAGCCTGCGTGTTCTGGGGTAGCTGGTGATGCAGCAATAGTAACTGGAACTGCATTAAATGTAGCTTGTGGCTTGAATTTGCATGTCTATAATTACTAACCAAATCACACAGTTCCCCCAAGAGTTTGTTTACTATGTCTGTCTCCTCCCCAGGGGAACTGCCTGCTCACTGGGGAAATCTGCCATGGCTTCGTTCCTAAGAAACAGTCTCAACGTGTCCCTGAAGGGAGTCGACAGATTTCTGTTGCCGAGCACAGACTTTGCTCCGTTCATCTTTTCAT